AGAAAATGTCTGGTATGGCTGGACATTTATAAAGCCATGGAAATAATCCTCTAAGAAATAATAATGCAGAAAAGGCCTGCCCTCTTGACTGGGTGAGATTTGTGGCTAGTAACTTCTGCATGGGTATCCTTCCTTTTCTGGACCCATTTCCTGGGTGTTTGTTTGTTTGTTTGGTTGGTTTTTTGGTTTTTTAATTTTGTTCACCCTGATTCATTTTTTTTTCATTGAGCTCTCAGCAAAAATTTCTTTTTTTGAATTTCATCTTCTGTTCTCACCAAATGGAGTTTGTTGTTCAGTGATGAGAATATTTTCAAATTTACACTAACAGAAGATGTTTTAAAAATTTTGAACTTTGCTGGCTGAAATTGATCTTGGATTGTGAGATTATAACTCTACCCCTGTCAAAGACATATGAGCTGCCATCTCTGAAGGCATCATGAATCCTTAATCCAATTGGATGAGACAAATTTGGATCTTCCCATTTTTATACATGAGGAGATCAAGCAAGCTCAGATTAATTATTAATCAGTTTCTCCCAAAATCACTGTTGTCTTAAGTGGCAGAGGTCCAAATTCAGCCCAGTCTGCTTGATTCTGGGACCCATTAGCATTCTTCTGAAAGTGTTCTCTGGCATCTCGTTTTGTGTCCGGCAAGGGTTTCTCCATGTCTTCTCCTTATTTGATATCTGTGCTTGTCTGGTCAGCTCTTTATAGCTCCTCTCTTCCAAGAAAGCATCTTGGGTATGGGATTTCACTCACCTGCTCAGCTTTCCATACAGCCAAGGTGGGCAGGAGAGTGTGTTTGAACATTCTGAGCAGGTTTAGGAGTTCCATTTCTAGCTATTTCATGATAGAGATCAAGACTTAGGGAAGACTAGGATTTGATCCAGGCACAAAACCTTGCTTAGAACAGCTACTCTCTCCACAATGCTGGGTAAAGTAGAAGGTCAGAAGAAAACAGAAGACCCTCAAAGAGATGGGATAACACAGTGGCTGAAAGGATGGACTTAAACACAGGCGCAGCTGTCAGGAGGGTGCAGGATCCGGAAGTGTTTTGTTCCGTTGTAAACAGGAACTTACCCTAGGACTAAGCACCACCACGTCTCCACAATAAGTACACACCAAGTTCAATTCATCTGATTTGGTGATAAAAGGTGGTGAGAACATTCATAAAGTCTCTTGAAGATGTGCAGTGTGAATTCCCTTTAGTCAAAGCTCAAACACATGACTTTCTCACATTTGTTTTCAGTTTTATAAAACTGTCATCATTACGGAAACTCCACTGGAAACTTTGTAATTGTGAATTTGAAATGTCCTAAGCGCTTAAGGGGGTCCTGGTGTGGTGCTGTAGGAAAAGCTAACTGCAAGGTTGAGGGTTCAAACCCACCAGCCGCTCCTCTGAAACCATATACAGGTTCACTAGGAGTCAGAACCATCCCGACAGCACTTAACAACAACAGCCCCTAAAGATACTCTCTCCCTTTTCCCCATCAAACCAATTATGCTTCTAAATGGAATTTAAATTTTTGTTTCTTTTAGTTTGTCTTTAATGTTATAAAAGATGCTGTTCTGTTTCATAGTCTTAATCTAGAGTCAAGACATTGAACTTCAGGTCCCTGGCTGCTTTGGCCCCTCAGGAAGCTGTGAATTTAGGCCTGACTAATGTGGCTCTTTCCAGATAATGCTCCGGTAGTGTAGTGGTTACGAATCGGGCTGCTAACCTCAGTCAGCAGCTGCTCTGCTGGAGAAAGATGTGGCAGTCTGTTCCCGTAAAGATTTCAGCTTCAGAAACCCTTTGGAGCAGTCCTATTCTGTCTTGTGGGGTTGCTCTGACTTGGGTTTGGTTTTTGGTTTATTATTGTCACAGACAACAAATTCTGCACCTCTTATTCCAACACTTGCCTTTGACCAAGGGCTAGTTCTGTGCTGGCCTCCCACACTGCTGTCTGCCCAGATTGGGTCCCCTTCTATCTGTTGTGAAATGCTATCAAGTTGGTTCCCACTCACAGCGGTCCTGTATAGGGTTTCTGAGGAACTTGTGGGTTTGAACCACTGATCTTGTGCTTAGCAGTCCAATGCTTATTCTACAGCACCACACCAGGACTCCTGTCTGTTTGGATGGCTGTAACATGGTGGTGCCTGAGGCTGCCCCAGCACTGGGACCTCGGCACAGGATGAGCCTGCTCTTAGCATCCTCCCTGGTTTAGGCACGGAGGCAGGGAACAAGTTAACATGTGTCCTCCTGGGACTCACAGCCAGGTAGGGAGTGACAGAGAGCCACACAGGAAAAAGACAGCCTGCAGTGACATCTGTGAAGGAAACGCCTGCATACTGAGCTGGCAGAGAGAGGGCTGAGCTGTCTGGGCCACCAGGCGGGCCTCTGCACCCAGAAAAGGTGGCAGGAAAGAGAGGGGAGGCAGTGTCTGTTCTAGGCACAGGGAACAGCCTACTCAGAAGGCCTGCCAGGGGAGCCGGGCACACTGATCTTTCAGCAGTGGGTACCACGTTTACAATCCCTTCATGCTATGGGGGCTATTTGGTGAGAAGGAGCAGATCACCTCATGGAGGCATTTCTCAAGGCCTTTCAAGCCAACCCCTCATTTAATAAAACCAAACTCACTGCCTTCGAGTTGATTCTGACTCATAACCACTTTAAGGACAAGAGTAGAATGAACTGTTCTCACTGTTTCCAAGCCTGTCATTCTTTATAGAAATAAACTGCCACATCTTTCTCTCACGGAGTAACTGGTGGGTTCGAACTACCGACCTTTCCGTTAGTCGTCCAACACTTAACCTATAGTGCCACAGGGCTTCTTCCTCATTTAACAGTGGAAGGAAGCCAGGCCACAGTACCCTGGGTGGGTTTACCAGGAAGCTGAAGTTAATGACTATGTTGGACCTCTCCCTGCCGACTTCAGCCCTTTCCTGGGACCTGCACCTAATTTGGTATTTCTTGCTCTTTCTTTGTTTCTTTCTGAAAGGCAACTTCCATATTTGCATCAGCCTCAGACCTCAGAGACTCTGAATCAGCTTTTATTAGAACTCAGGCCCCTCACAGTAATTCCCACACTCACATCTGACCATGATTTCTCAGGCCTTTTGTTAATTCACAAAGCAGGTAGGAAGGCTGTGCTGGGCCCATCCTCCTTCATCCCAGAGAAGAGTTTTCTCAGGAGCCCTGAGCCCTTTCAGGGGCCGCCTTTCCGGGGATTACAATCAGCTTGACTCAACTTATCATTGTAATAACTTGGTTCTGATTCATTTACCCAAAACCTCATTGGTGTTTCATGCTCATTCTGATATTTACTGTCCCTTGTGACTCAGTCTGGTCTGGGTCCTGATGAGTCAGGGCCAGGGGCTGGAGGTTACAGCATGCGGATGTCTGGATCCTAGAAAGTAGCCTCTTTGGGTCCCGAGACCACACCACACTGGGATCTCTTTCTGGGGCGAGGAGGGCAGGGATTGTCCCATTCCCTCCTCTGAATTCACAAAGCAGCTGAAGACACTTTGCTGGCCCCATCCTTCCTCACCCCAGTGAAGATTTTTCTCAGGACGCCTGAGTCCTAGAGGTTATCTAGAATGAGAGCTTCATTAGAGCAGGGGACCCAACCTGTTTGCCCACCCGCACTAGGTTCTCAGTAAACAACTGACACATGGACAGGTCACCAGTACATCGTTACCCAGATGCCTCACCAGCAGATGGAGGGGAAAATGTCAGAGCAAAGCCAAATTGCATTTGTGGATTTTTAAGACCTACCATTCCTCCAAGGAGCTCTGGTAGCATAGTGGTTACGAGTCAGGCTGCTAACCACAAGGTCAGCAGTTCGAAACTACCAGCTGTTCCAGAAAAGAAAGATGAGGCTTTCTGCTCCCGTAAAGATTTACAGCCTCAAAATCCTATACAAGGTTGCTATGAGTCAGAACTGATTCCACAGCACATAACCACCACCACTATTCCTCCAAGATGCACCGCAACATCTCCCTGTGCCTACTGGGCCTGGCTTATTGGTCTGTGACGTAGGGCTTCTGTTGTCATGGCAGCCAACACAGTCACATCTTGTTGCTGGTCCTCTCCTCTGGAGGGAGCTGTACTGCACAGCCAGACAACATACCTTCCTTTTCAAAATGGCACCAGGTACTTTTAGCACTCATATGATGAAAACACATCATGTTTCTTCTCCCACCCCCACAAAACCCGATGAAATAAAGCCCCAGAAATGGACTTTGCTGAGCCTCAGAGTTGATGCCAAGCAGTCCTGTGGGGTCCTCATTTATCAGCCCCCCATGTTATTGGGAAGTGCCAGTCCCTGCAGAAGGACACTATGTTTGACAAAGTAGAGGGTCCGTGAAACAGAGGAAGACCCTCAGTGAGATAGGTAGGCAGAGAAGCAGCAACAATGGACTCGAGTGTAACAAGCACTGTGAGGAGGGTGCAGGACCAGGAAGCAGTACTCAGGGTCACTGTGAGTCAGAACCAACTCAACGGTACCTAGCAGCAGCCACCAGCAGCACCTACGTTATCATAGCTGTGGGACCCACAAGGCTCAGCGAGGGGACACGGCAGCCTCCTGCTGAGGCATCTTATCATCCATAAGGAGAAGCCACACATTTTGTCTTGTCTCACATTGACTCTGCCAATAAGTTGATTCTGACTCCAAGAGCTGAGCAGATGCTCCACTGGGTTTCCAAAGATGTAATCTTTCCGGAAGTAGACAGTCTCATCTTTCTCCCTGTTTGAACCCCATGCATAAGTCATAGCATCGCCAATATAATGACATGGTATTAACCCCATTTTAAGGATGGGGAAATTGAGGTTAGCAGGCAATTGCCCAATATTAGTGAGATCATTGGGTGGCGATCCAGGGTTTCTGGATGGCCACGTCCCAGGGGAGAACATCAGGGCCTAGTCACACTTGAAGCAGGCACCCAGTGCAGGACTCCCCTCCCAAGACCACTTTGCCTTCCCTGTGAAAACACTCACCCTGCTGCTCTCGTTTCCAGGACTGGACAGCGACTTCCTGGCAGTGCTGACTGACTACCCCACTCCTGACATCAGCCCTCCCATATTCCGCCGAGGGGAGAAACTCCGTGTGATCTCTGAGTGAGTCCACTCTCTGGAATTCTTAGGGTTCCCAAAAGAGGGGGCGCTCAGTTTGGGTGGGGTGGTTAGTTTTTAGTTCTAGCTGTCCAATTTGCATGAGCCTGGGTGAGACATCTGACCTCCCTTTTTAGTGATGTAATGCTCTCAAACCTTCAATGGCTCCCACTGCCTGCTAGAGAAAATTTAAATTCATTAATCTGGTGTTTAATACATTTATGACCCAATTTCTGCTGATTACCTTAACCTCACCTCCAGCCCCACGTACAGTCTTGATATCATATATCTGTACACACTCAGGAAGGGAGACTTGGGGGTCTGAAAACACTTGTCAAGATAAGCAAAACATTGGTTCTTTTCTATCCTTCTGTTCCTTCCGTCTGATTTACAATAAGGGCTCCGAGTCCCTTCTTTAGATTTCCATGCATGTGCACACATGGCACTACCCTCTGTAATTTGTGGGTTGTACAGCAATCATACAATGAACATGCATACTTTAACAAGCCTGCCCACTAACAGCAGCTGGGAACACTATCTGCTGATCCCTGAATAGCAGCTACTGCCAAGATGTGGGGAAACATCTATGGAATAAATAAATAAGTTCATGGAAAGAGAGAACTCAAAGAAAATGTCATTTTTCCATGAATTTATTTGAAGCCCCCTCACATACTTTAAAAGGAACCTTTTATATGGTGAAATTCAGGTTGACACGGTTAAGGAAAGCTCTCCAGAAAGGAACATCCCATCCTATGTGTTCCCTTCCCTCATTAAGTATGATGAGATGACTCATTCGTATCTGCTCTGCTCAATGCAATCATTTCTGACTGTCCCTGCATTTGCTCTGCCGCTCACCCACCCATCCTTCCCCATCTCTCTGTTCCTACAGTGAAGGCGGCTGGTGGAGAGCCATTTCTCTCAGTACAGGCCGAGAGAGCTATATTCCCAGCATGTGTGTGGCCAGAGTTTACCACGGGTGAGTCCTGTCCTCAGAATGTCCATGAAAAGGATGTTGATGTCAGTGATTCATACAATCGCAGAGAGAGATTGTGGCATGGTATAGCTGGGTCTTCAGGGGGCTGTTTCCACTCCCAGTCCATCAGTAAGGAGAGGGACAACCTTCAATTAACCCCTCTCCCTCTCTGTGACTTGGTTTCCCCATCAGTAGCAGAAAGGCAGCTGGACCTTTCAGCTCTAACACAGGGCTCCTGGCACACAGGTCCCAACACTCAGAAGCTATTACTATGGGGCACAGTGTGGTATCTTGGCCAAAAGTTGGCCAGCATGGGCATGGACCCTGCCTCTGTCATCTACTGCCCAGGGTGGTGGGCAACCTACCCAGCTTTCTATGCGTCAGTTTCTTTTCCTCATGTGTTAATACACAATGATAGGAATAAGAGTAAAATCCACAAATACCAGAGCCTGTGTAAGACAGAACCCTGTCTGAAAAGGTAATATGAATATTTTCCACTAATAGAGAGTGACAGAAAAGGTGAAGACTGTACCTGTCCGATGACACTGGGCTCTTAGAAGAATCGAATATGCTAAGCCATGTGTGGTTCTTGGAATAAGGGCTAGCATTACAGGAAACATTCATTAAGCACTGGCCATCTCCTTGTCATATACACATCCCAGTGATACCGAAGGTTTGGATCCAGACCACTTCGAGAAAGTCAATATTGCCCGAATTTTGGATTTACCCGCACATTTAAAAACTGTGTGGATACTATACTACAGCCCATAGCATGTACAATTGGATTCTGAAAAAGTTGGAACTGTTGTAAGAATGATCAAAATGGGACAGAGACATGAAGTGAGCAAACAATGCTGGAAAAACGGTACCTGACAGACTTAAGCAACACAGCTTTGCCACAAACCTTCTATTTGTTGTTGTTGTTAGATGCTGCCAAGTTGGTCCGAACTCACAACAACCCTGTGCACAACAGAACAAAACAATGCCCAGTCCTGTGCCAGCCTCACAATTCTTGTTAAACTGGAGCCCATTGCTGCTGCCACTGTGCCAATCCTTCCTCTTTTTTGCTGCCCCTCGACCTTCTCCAGGGACTGGTCCCTCCTGATAACATGTCTGAAGTATGAAAGACAAAGTCTCTTCATCCTGGCTTCTAAGGAACATTCTTGCTGTAATCCCATTCGTTAAAAACACAGTTATCTACGATGGTCAGTAAAGTTGTTATTGTTATGTGCCATGGAGTCGGTTCCGACTCATAGCAACCCATATAGGGTTTCTGAGGCTATAAATCTTTACGGGAACAGAAAGCCTCATCTTTCTCCTGTCGAACAGCTGGTAGTTTCAAACTGCTGACCATGAGATTAGCAGCCCGATTCGTAGCCACTACGCCACCAGAGCTCCTTCGTCAGTAAAGTAGAGCTCAATAAAAAGAGGTATGACTGTATTCGGAAGCAAAGCATGGTTACTTAGCCCACTGGACAGGTAGGTGAGTCAGCAGATGAGACAACAAGCAAGTTGTTTGTCCTACAATTACACAAGTGAGGCAGTTACCATGACATGAATTGCTTTGGAGCCCAGTGGTTCTGGGTTCAAGTCTTGGCTCCAACACTTGCTGGAAGAACCTGTGAAAAGGGACTTAGCCTCCTTGCACTCTACCGTCTCGTCATCTGCCAGGCTGTCCAGACACACCCTCAGCAGGGGTGTGCACATATAGCACATGAGAAACGGGAAAAGGAGGCACCATTTCTAGTTAAAAGCACCCAGAAAGCACTTCCTTACATTCGGAGAAGGGCTCCGCTGGCCACCTGCTCACCTGGTGAAGTAGAGACAACCCCCTGACCATTGTGAAGAATGGAAAGAATGAATGCACTTATCTGCAGAATTAACGACCGTGGTAAACAACACCAAAACCATTTTGCACTTAGGATGTCAAAGGAAACAATCAATGGGGCTGTGGTTGCTGGCTGAGTTTTGTTTAAAAACTCCAGAGTCACGCAGCATTTCCAGATCAGCTGGGAGCCGCTGGTCTATTCATTCATTTAGCAAACAGGTATCTGGCCTTTATGTTGGAGATGTAGGGTGGTGAGGAACCCAGGTCAGTACAATGTAATTACCAACTTAAGCATACTCCAATTTAGAAGATGCCAGTCCTTAATGCAGGGAGGCTGTGCATTACTAACATGGAATTCACGGCCCAGATAAATGCACTTCAGTGCTAAGTCTAGCACTTGCTGATACGGTGGCTTGGACAAATGACTGGATCGCTCTGAATCTGTCTCCTCATCTGTGAAAGAGAAGCAAAACTTCCTTTCTTAGAGAGTCGCTCGGAGGATTCGATGCGAAGTGCTGAATGAGGCATAGGGCCCAGACTTAGTGCCCGTGTAGGGTCAAGTTTATTACTATTGTTCCTTTACTATTTTCATTTTGTAAGGTTTTCTGTAGACACCTGAATGCATCGTTGTCTGTCACATACACCAAAATAAGTCATACGCCACGCACTGCACTGAATGAAGGAAGACTTGAACTATTTGGCTGAATGTGGCATCATCTTGATGACCTAATCAGTCTCAGAGACCAGAACTTAAATAAAGAGACTGTGATGTTATGTCCTGGTGGTCTCACACAAGATGTTTCCATGCCCACGTGAGTCTGAGGGGGCCACAACAATAAAGAATATGTAATGACCACTATTTTTTAAAAACTTGTTGAGTTGATTCCAATCAGTGGAGACCCTATATACAAGCAATTAAAGAGACCACGGAAGAAAGCCCTCGTAATCTACTTCTAGATAGCCAGGCACCAAGACACCTACGGAAGCTCAGCTCTACTCTGATACCCATGAACTCACCGTGAGTCAGAAACAACTGGTGGCAACTAACATATGGATAACTCAAACTAGAAAAATCAACACGCTTACTGACATGGAATTGATTCCAACTCAAAGTGCCCTGTAGAAGGTTTGCAAGACGGTAAATCTTTCCAGAAGCAAACCGCCTCCTCATCTTTCTCCTATGGATCAGCTGGTTGGTTTGAACCACTGACCTTTTGACTTGCAGCCCAACACCTCACCCTGTATATGTGTTGATTAAAAGCCAAGGTCCATTTGCTGACATGCTTTAAACACCAGTCTACCCCAGCCAACTGCAAACAAGATATGTGCTTCCATACAGCTGGTCAACTCTCCTCTGCCGAGAAGAAAGGGCCCTTACTTTCTAGAACATAGATTTCTTTATGTAGGGAGCTGCCTTCTAAAGATCACTTAACACTTCACTGGGTTACTGCCTGTGCTGCAACCTCACAACTGCTTTGTTTACTGTGGATGCAAAAAAGCCAGACACACGTATAAATGCATACTACACAATAGCACAGTGGTTATGTGTTGGGCTGTTAATCTCACAGCCAGCAGTTCTACACTACCAGTGGTACCATGGGAGAAAGATGAGGCTTTCTGCTCCCGTAAAGATTTACAGCCTTGTAAACCCTGTACAGGGTCGCTATGAGTCAGAACCAACTCCACGGCACACAGTCACCAGCACCCACAGTGACAACAATGGGCTTAGGAGTAACAACTGAGTGAATGGTGCAGGACTGGGAGGGTTTCCTTCTGCTGTGGGAACTGACTCGAAGGCACCCAACAAAATCAACACAGTGACAACTCTGTTTCACAGTTTTGTTTTGTTTTTCAAAGAAGGAGGAAATAAAGTGACTGCAAAGTGGGGCTTGTTGAATTGGTAAGGTTAAGACCCTCTTCTTTCATGTATCCATTCATTCAATCATTCATTCAACAAACGTGTGCCAAGCAGATGCTCTGGACACAAATAGGTCAGAACTACCATTGACATGGCGAACCAAGCAGACAGACACCATCCCTTCCCCACTGGATAGTGAGGAAGGAGCTTGGTAGTCAGAAGCAAAGGGAGACATGCTGTAAATAAACTCCACATAGCTACTTTATGATGTTTTCTAATGCATGTGTCTGATAGAAGATGGAATGTGTACACCTAGTTGGCATTTGAAACCTGAGGCAAGGAAGATACTTTATGCATCTTTGTATTCACATTTTGCTATTGTTGTAAAGTGCCATTCAAGTTCGTTCCAACTCACAGTGACCCTATATAAGGTTTCCAAGGAGCAGCTGGTGAGTCTGAACCACTGACCTTATGGTTCAAACTGACCTTGAAGTCGAGTGCTTATTATATGGTGCCACACCAGGACTCCTGTGGTTCCCTGCTAACCAGTGAAATCCCTGGTACCTAACAGTTCCACAGGAAACAATGAATAAAGAAACAACTATTGGCTGTCTTTCTCTGTTAATACCTAAAGCTTTATATTAACTAGACCTCCATCATATTTTTTGCATTCGTGTCTTTTGGGGGGTGGGGGACAGGGGCCACACTCGGGGTATTTATGGCAGTCTCTGTCTTCCCAGCTGGCTGTTTGAAGGATTGGGCAGAGACAAGGCTGAGGAGCTGCTGCAACTGCCAGACACCAAGATGGGTTCGTTCATGGTCAGAGAGAGTGAGACGAAGAAAGGTGAGTAGCCACGGACTCGGCTTTCCCTGTGCAGGTGCTCCCGTAGGTCTTCTCCCACCTGACTCATTACCTGGCTTCATCATGTCTCCTCCTCTGACTTACTCAGATCAGTCTGAGGGCCTTAGCTCCCTGTAGCCTACACATGACTAGCAAGGCCAGCATAAAAACAAAAGGACTGAAATGGAGAGCTGGGACCTGGATGATCAACACAAGGCCCTATGGGAAACCCATCAACTGAGAGCAATGTGGAAGGCCAGGAGTGGGCAGCCCACTGGGCAGAGGGCCAAAGATTTTTACCTCTCTGCTCGTCTCTCTAGTGGATTACCCACCTCTGAGCTCAGTGTTCTGGTCTTTGAAATGGAGGGAGTGCCTAGTACTTCCGTTGTATGGTGAAAACCAAGTGACTAATATTTGTGCTGCCCCATAGACTTAGAGGAGCCCAACATCAGTGCCTTCTACACCTTAAATTAGCTTCGGGTATTGTGCTTTTAAGGAGCTCTGGTAGCGTAGTGGTTACGAATCAGGCTGCAAGCAGTTCGAAACTACCAGCGGTTCCGCGGGAGAAAGATGAGGCGGTCTGCTCCCGTAAAGATTTACAGCCTCAGAAACCCTGTGTAGGGTCGCTATGAGTCGGCACCGACTCCACGGCACACAACAACAACATTGTGCTTTTACCCATTTGTCATAATCTTGATCCTCTTGGCCTTGCATCCTGCTCATTAAGTAGTAGCGCAGCAAAACAGAAATAATGGGACCATTTGTACTTGTTTGAAGCAAGGCCCCTGCATTCTAGCGATGGCTGCTCCCATTAATAAAGAAACCACATCCTATCTCTAGACCTGGGGTGGGGAACATCCATCTAGCCTGCGGGCCGCATGTTGTTGTTGTTAAGTGCCATCGAGTCGGTTCCGACCCATAGCGGCCCTGTAAGGGTTTCCGAGGGTGTACATTTTTATGGGAGTAGAAACCTCATCTTTCTCCCGCGGAGTGGCTGGTAGTTTTGAACCACTGACCTTAAGGTTCGCAGTCCAATTTGTAACCACTACACTACCAGAGTTCCTTTGCGCGCCGCCGCATAAGGGCCTCAAAATCATTTGATCTGGCTCTGCCAAGGCAACCACAGCTCCAGCCATCACCTTGTTGTTGTTGTGAAGTGCCATTGATTGGGTTCCAACCCATAGCAATCCCATATAGGGTTTCCAAGTCGCGGCTGGTAGATTTGAACCGCCGACCTTGTGGTTCAGACCGACCTTGTGGTCTAGCGCATTATCCTGCAGCACTAATTAGATGTTTGGTCAAACTTAGCAGGCTAATTTTTAAGTTGATAATTCTGTATGGCCTGCGAATGATGTTATACATTTTAGCAGCAAAAAGGTTACCCACTCAGCTCTAGCCCATGGTTCCTTACCTGTAACTTGGGGTTAGCAACTGTAAATGCTTATTGTGTTGTTGTTATTAAGTGCCCTAGAGTCGGTTCCAACCCACAATGACTCTGTATAGAGTTTCCAAGAAGCAGCTGGTGAGCTTGGATTACTGACCTTGTGGTTCAAACTGACCTTGCAGTCCAGCACATTAACCCACAGCACCACACCAGGACTCCAAATGCTTAATATGTCTGTGATGTAGTAAAATCCTGGTGGGTTTGAACTGTCAACTTTTTGGTTAGCAGCCAAAAACATGTAGTTCAGTGTTTTAAAAAAAGACCAAAAAACTTACAAGAGTAAAAGAGTCAACAACTAAGACGTTCCCAAACAATAATATAATTTCAAATGTTGAAGATGTCTTTTCAGTTCTTAGCTGGCTGCCCACACACTCGCTCTCACAGAAGACAGAATGGAGTACCAAGAGTGTGTTTTCCATGCACCCACGAAGTGCCTGAGCTGTCTGATGCAGGAGCCCCTCACCCCAATAGGGAATCAGAAACCACAGATATTTCTCTCAAAACCCTGAATGTTCAGGGGGAGAGCTTGTCCCCAGAGGTCCCCAAGCTGCCCCTACTACGTGAAGGGTAGGGGAGAACCCAGAACTTACTTCTAAAAATAAAGATGCAGTCAGGGAACTGGGGAGCAGGCTCTGCTCTCTTGGGTATGTATGCAAAGTGCTGAGGATTTTCCACCTGCCACCCTCAGCTGCTCATCATACTTCTAGTCCTGGTGACATTACCAGAAGACATAGGTCAGGTTGACTCAGAGGGCAAGTCTGGGCAAGGCGGGGATGCCTACCCCGACGTTCTAAGGGGCCTCTCTCTGAGGACAAGTTTCACCACCTATAAAATATTTATAAATAATTCCTCCCAAGGTCTACCTGAGAACTGGCAGAGAAGTTGCTTGGAAATTGCTATCCCTTGCCCAGCATAGACAGCAAAGCCCCTCTCATCACTAGCTCCTTTTCCCTTTCCACTGTCTGGAGTGTTTCTTGCTCATAAGAGCTCAGGAGACAGGACTGGGAGGGCCCAAGCCCAGCCCGCTCCCTTTCCATTTTGGGGAAATGGAGGTGACTAGAGGAGAAGACACTTGCCTCCAGGCATTCACAATGCTGGTTCTACTTTTGCAAACCTACTGGACATCACTGGGAGATTAGATACATCTTCTACATGTTTCTTAGGATTGCCCATAAAAATGTCTTAGCGGTCATGTTTTCCACATTTCTGAGAAAATTTAGCCTAAGTCCGAGGGAATGGGGACTCAGAAAGGGGACATCACTGTAAGCCCCCCAGTGCAGCAGGGACTAGAGGGGAGAAATGGCAGTTTGTTTAAAGACAGTGGCCTTAGTAAAGTCTTAGGCATGAGTGTAGGTAGTAATGAATGTAGGTACCAGAGCTGCAGGTTGCAATCAAACTATAATTGTTACATTTGGCCTCAGAAGCCACAGAAGGGTGTGGAAACATCCCAATACTTACCTCAAAAGCCGAGAGAACTTGTACTTAAAAGCCTGCAATTGAGATATGATGAACACATACAGACCACTAAAATAACACAATCCTGTGGAAGCCATGGTGGTGCAATGGTTAAAGTGCTAGGCTGCTATCTGAAAAGTTGGAGGTTCAAACCCACCAGCTGCCCCGTGGGAAGAGGACATGGCAGTGAGCTTCTGTAAAGATGATAGCCTTGGAAATCCTACAGGGCAGCTTTCCTTTATCCTACAGGGTCGCTGGGCATCAGAATGGACTTGACAGCACTAGGTTTATAAATGGGTGCTATAGTTAATGTCCTCATCTGCTCTCCAAAAGGTTGGAGGTCGAGTCCACCAAGAGGTGCCTTGAAAGAAAGGCCTGGCACTCTCCTGCCAAAGAAACCATCCACTGAGAACTCTGTGAGCACAGTTCTACTCTGACACACACAGGGCACCATGAGTGGGACCTAATTATGGAAATCATCCACTGAGAACCCTGTGGAGCACAGTCCTACTCTGACACACACAGGGCACCATGAGTGGGATCTACTTATGAAAACTCATCCATTGAGAACCCTGTGGGCACAGTTCTACTCTGACACACATGGGGCACCATGAGTTGCCACCAATGCCACACCAAGTAGACAGTATGAGCTATGTGGTTGGAAAGATGTCACTTAAAATGCTTGGGTGCCATGTCTGGGTGTCACATTCTGTCAAAACTGAGAGAAATCTCTCACCTCAGTTGTTTGGTTAGCTGGGTGTCTTTGGGGAAGGTTCATGGAACACTGCGGATTTCGTGTCTCCTCCTCAGGTTTCTACTCGCTCTCCGTGAGACACCGGCAGGTGAAGCATTACCGCATCTTCCGCCTGCCTAACAACTGGTACTACATCTCCCCCAGACTCACCTTCCAGTGCCTGGAGGACCTGGTGAACCACTATTCTGGTAAGCAGCCCCACCTCACTACCTGTGCTGTGGTGCCCTCAGTGGAGGTAGGGTCCTCTCACCTGCTCGGCTCTGGTTAACTCAGGCTGAAGCCTACCACCTGGGAATGCTGCCTACTCTCAGAGTCATCCTCCCTCACCTGTCCTGTGTTCCTAACTGCAGGCAGCGTGGGTCAGCCGTGCCCTTTGGAGCTCTCTGCAGCTTTGTTCTCAAAGGCCAGGCATTCCCCTTTTCTGTGCATTAAAATCCTCCTCATCCTCCAAGGCCAATGTCAGCGCAGCTCCGGGACACAGTCTGCCCTTGAGTCAGCCTGGGTGCTGCGCAGTCTCTGCCCCACACACCCAGTGCTTCTCTTCTGGGTATGCTCCTTATGCCAGCTTCCCAGTACCATCGAGTCAGTTCCCACTCAGAGTGGCCTTGTAGGGCAGAGGAAAACTGTTCCTTAAGGTTTTCAAGCCTCATCTTTCTACCCTGGATCAGCTGGTGGGTTTGAACCTCGGGAGCAGCAATCAATCTTGTAGTTAGCAACCCAACCCTTAGCCCTCTGAGCCACCAGGGAGGGCTCTTTCATGTTGTCTTGTTTGAGATCTACTCTACACACTCTAAAGACCAGAGATTGGATTATATTCATCTGTGTGTCCTCTCTGGGTCCAGGAGACGGATATGGCAGGCCCAGGCTGACCAGAGCAGGGGCATCTTCCAAGATGATGGGCAACTAGGATGGTTTGGATGCAGGTGAAAGTAGAGGGCAGCATCAGAAAAGTAAAAGTTGAGTTTAACTGTGAAATATATTGAATGTAGTTTGATTTTTTCTGTATGAAAAATTGGCTCAGCTTCCAAATAACACAGTGGTTAAGAGGAAGCTCTGAAAGTTCCATGTTCATTTCCCAGATGGGCTCCCTGTGATGTTCTCCCAACAGTGTGATGCAGAGACCAACTGTTGCTGAGTGCAGGGACTGTTTTTAGCAGTGTGCCTAGAACATGAATCAGAGCCACCACTAAATGTAAACTCATCCCTCTTCCCTCCTCGTAAACTCATCCCTCTTCCCTCCTCGGTGCATTGCAGAGGCTTTTGTTTCATTGTAACTCTCTCCATTCTAGTCTCAGGACATCCAGCCTCACACCCCTGGGCATCTTTGCTAGTGTTTTTAGGTGGCAGGTTTTGAGCTGAAGAAGCAAAGGGCATTTTTTCAAGGATAATAAAAGGAATAAAACGCAGCCTTTACTGAGCCTCCTGGTCTTAGAAAAGCCCTGTGTAGGAGGGAAAAAGGACCACTTGAGAGAGGCAGGCCCAAGATCCCATCTGGCTTTACCACAAAGGTGCTGGGTGAGGCCAGGTCCTGGACCTCTCGGGGTCTCGGGGTCCAGGTAGGAGAGGTACACAAGTGCAGACACATTGTAGGGACTGTGGTGAGTGTTATACCGTGTAACGTGTGCAGCCTGGCACATGGGTGAGACAAAAATTAATCATAACAAATATCATTTCTGTGACAGCTGAAGACCTAGCAGGCAGATATAAGTGAAAGAGGAAGGGAGCCCCGGAAAAAGGCACCCCCTAAGTGATTATGAGTAAACACTAGCTGTGGTATTGACCTTAATAACATTAATTACAGGGGTGAAGACCATAAGATTTGCATACAGAAAAGCAAACATCAAAAGAAGGTGTGGCCCAGCAAAACTGGCACAACCTCAGGCTCCCCGGCCAGGGACACCTGGCAGATGTTTGCCCACCAGAAAATCTCACCCCACTACAAAAAGAAAGCTGTCCTTTCCAAAGCCTTTACACCCCATTGAATCGCTAAATGGTTTATAAGATTACCAGTTCATTTCTGCAAACAACTGACATTCTTCCTATGCCCTTCAGGACCCCAAAGTGGAAACAGTGTAGCCAATGCTAACCTCCCATTAGATGCAAACCATGAGACTCTTGGTGTGGTGCTGTAGGATCAGCATTGGACTTGGAGTCACAAGGTTGGCAGTTCAAACCCACCAGCTTCTCCTCAGAAACTCTATACAGGATCACTATGAGTCAGAAGAGACTTGACAGCATTTCACAACAATGGCCCAGTGGATTCACTGGGTGGTGCAAACTAGTGGTTTAATGAATTCACTGAAAAGTTGAAGATTCAAGTCCAGTTAGAGGTTCCTCACAAGAAAGGCCTGGTGACTTACATCTAAGAATACGGGCTTTGAAAACCCTATAGAGTTCATTCTACTCGGATGGACAAGGGGCTGACTTTATGGTAACTGGTTGGTCATTGTGTTTCGAGTCCATGAGAGATGGGCTTGGATCCTACTTCTGTGGCTAGGAGCTTGTGACTTGATCTCAGGATCCTCAATTTCTTTAAAAATCTACCATGACGATACTGACCACACCAAGTTGCCGTGGGGGTTCAGTGAGCATGGCACGTGTTACTTGAGGATGAGTCTGAGTTCATTTGCTCTCTGTGCACATGTCTCTTTCCAACAAAGTCCTAACCTGAGAAGAAAAAATGCATTTGAGTTGTGGTGTTGATGACGAATCCTGAAAATACCATGAACTGCTAGAAGAACAAACAGATCTGTCTTGAGGAAGAAGAGCCAGAAGCCTCCTTAGAACTGAGGCTAGCAAGACTTAGTCTGCTGAACTTTGGACATGTCGTCAGGAGGGACCAGTCCTTGGAGAAGGGCATCATGCTTGGTGGAGTGTCAGGAAGATGCCCCCAACAAAATGGACTACCACAGTGGTTGCAAGAATGGTGTAAACACAGTGACAATTGTGAGGATAGCGCAGGACCAGGCAGTGTGTTGTTCTGCTGTGCACGGAGTGCCTGCGATTTGGAGCAGATTGGAAAGCACCTCACAACATTCGCCTCAATAAGGAAGAAGTTTCTCCACCTCACTTGGGGATTGCAGTTAATTTCTCTCAATTGTGCATCTGTTTTGGTCTCCCTCACCTCCTAACCTTGAATTCCTTTCAATTTCCAACCAGTGACACGTAATTATTTTGGAATCACATCTAATTAAGTTTCCCTTGAACCTCATGGTCTGACGGCTCATTTCTCTTTATGCACCCTTGTGAGTGGACGTAGGAGTTCACAGTGAGAGTCAGGCAGGAAGTTTTGAGGCAGACATTACACAGATGCCTTCTTCAGAAAGCCTGGACTTATCACTGTAACCCACCTTCCTTCAGTTCTCTGGCCTGAGAGCTCCAGCGAGAAGGTGGAAGGAGTGGCCTGTCAGATATGATGTGGGTGGGGTGGGTAAGACATACAGAGATGGACTGGTTCTACTTGGGGACCCTGAATTTCCCAGTGACATAAAAACTCTGGGGTCTTCAACCTGAATCTATAAGAATGCCCAAGGCACAACCAAGCAAAAGCACCCCCACAAAGAGATGGTAACGCTTCTGTGAGAAATGGACCATGGAGGCCCAGAGATTGAACAGTAGCCAGAGGAAAGCAAAATCCATTGGCTTGATTTCCATTCTCATTGTGCATGAATATGAAAAGAGATGTTTCTTTGTCTATTTCCTTTCTTTTGTCCTTTGTCTTTTTCTTTGTTCTCCCTTACCATATCTTTGTCTTGTTTGTGCTTTTTTTACTTTGCCTTCTGGGCTCCTTTCTCTCATACTCTCATTCTTGCTTCTTCTGTCTTCTTCCCTGCCTCCCTCCCTGCACTCTTTTCTCCATCCCTTCTTTCTTTCCACCCTCCACTCTGTTCTTTCTCCTTCCCTCTTTTTTCTTCTTTTCCTCTTCCTCCTTCCATGACCATTCTCACCTCCTTTCTTCTCACAAGTACACTTGACTCACTGATGCTGGTTGGAATGCCGTTCTGTGTCCATGGGGGAAGTGCACTGGGCACGGTCCACCTGTGCACACAGACTTCACCTGTGAGAGCCTCAGTGAGAGACCACTGGAGACCCTGGGAGTTGAGGTCGGGAATTGTAAGACATTTGAGGGCAGACTGTTTTAGATTTACCTTTGTGCACAACTGCCTTGCTGTGAGCTTTGACCCAATGAGCACTTGGCCAGGGTTTCTCGCTTGTCAGCTTGATCCTTGTGCTGCGCAAGAGGACATGGTACGTGGCTCAGAGGGGCTAATGGTGGCTTCCCACCAGATGTGGTGTGAAATTCAAAGCCAGATTTAGCTGATTCTAGATCTGAACTCTTCCTGCTTTCTCGGTCTTCCTAAGTACAAGGAATATTCAGGGCACAGAAGTATTTCCTGAAAGATTGATGCATGATCCTCAGCCTTGCCACTGTCTGCCATGACCCTGTACTAATCCTGGCCTCAGTTTCCCTGTGTGAACAACCACAGAGTCCCATGCTGTGTAGCATTCCCCATCACTAACCAGGTGTCCTCTCTCTCCCCCCGCCCCCACCAGAAGTGGCTGATGGCCTCTGCTGCGTACTCACCACACCCTGCCTGGCACAAAGCACGGTTACTCCTACCGCAAGGGCCCCCAGCTCACCGGTCACCCTGCGTCAGAAGACATTTGACTGGAAGAAGGTGTCCAGGTAGGGTACCTGGCTTGTGTGTGCTGGCTGTGTGTGTGTGGGCTGTGTGGGGGCTGCATGTGTGT